GGGCAGCAGCGGCGCTGGCAGGGTCCCCGTGACGGCAGCGAGCGGTGAGACCCCCGCCTCGGTGAGCACAGCTCGACTCAGGAGCACCCACTGATCCCGTGCTCTTTCGAAACAGGCTTGGAGCCCGTTTACGGCCGAAGACACTGCCCGGTGCTGGAAAAAGGGCAGGACATGGGGACAAAGCAAAAACTGCAGCCACGTGCTACACTTCAAACTAGCACGTCCTGAGCGTCTCGTAAGTAGAGCCAAAGGAAACAGACTAAATCTTGGTCCTGGCAACCTTGGGAGATGTTAAAGTGGCCTCTCGCCATTTTCCCTCAATTCCAAGACACACTTGTTTTCATCTCCTGTTATTTCTGAAATCGGCCTGAGCCTGATCACTCAAAAGGACCTGGCTTGCGCCCTACGGGAGCGGCTCGACACAGCAGTTTTGCGTTTCTGTCTGGGCACCTGCTGGCTCGCGTCAGGGGTGTGGCCCGTCCCTGGCTGGGACAGCAGCTACGCTTGGCGAGGCCTGACCTCGGGAGACGCTGCCAATGCGCTAACCGAGCAGAAACGGCCAACGAGGGCCGGTCCTTCCGCCAGCCTGGAATCTTCCGCTGGCCTGAAATCTTGCCTTAGACCCGAACGGGGCTAATGGGGCCACTGAGAGCTCAGGCCAGGGACGGCCACATGTCTGGCCGGAGTGGCTCTGCATGACCATGACCGCTGACGGCCGCCGTCAGGGGCCAGAGGAGGCTGATGGTTCGGATTCCGCACCGGTGCGAGTCGAGGCAGAGGATGCTCGCGGTGACGGGTGGCTGCAGCCCGCAGAGGGCGCAGGGCTAAGGAGACGCCCATGAGGGCTGCTTTCCTGCTGCCTTCCAGCCCGTCCCACGTCCTGTCGGTGCCAGCTTGTCTCCGTCTCTCCCTTTTTACGGGTTTGAGATGACATATCTGATGGCATGTTACTACCCCGTCAAGGTGGTGCGCTGGCCCTCTGTTAAATCAGAGGGACCCTGCTGGCCGCACGGGATGCCTGATTCTCTCAACGCCCTGCCCTGTGTGCGTGTGCATGTGTGTGCGCGTGTGTGCATGTCCGTGTGCACATGTGTGCGTGTGTACGTGTGCATGTGTGCCCGTGTGTGCGTGTGCATGCCTGTGTGTGCATGTGTGTGCATGCCCCTGTGTGCATATGTGCATGCACGTGTGCGTGCGTGCCCGTGTGCATGTGTGTGCCCGTGCATGCGCATGCATATGTGTATGTGTGCGTGTGCATGTGTGCGTGTGTGCCCGTGTGCATGTGCGCGCTGCATGTGCACGTGCGTGCGTGCATGTGTGTGCATGTGTACGTGTGTGCATGCCCGTGTGCATGTGTGTGTACGTGTGTGTGCACGTGCGTGTTTCTCTGATCTCTTGCACATCTTTGCCGTCGTCTGACTTGTGACGTCCGGAGTCACCGTGCTCTGTTATTCTCTAAGCGAGAGCATCCACTAGGATGTTATTTTTTATCCGATATTAGATTCTTTTAGAAGAAGAGGCTCGCAGTCACGTGTGTCATTCAGACCGATGTTTAATCTTCCTCTGTGTGTTTGAGCTTTCCCTTTCGTCCCCGTTGTTCTCTGTCCTCTGCGTCATGACCATACGTACACACGGTCATTTGCTGCACAATTACATCTCGGTCAGCAACGGACAGAGTACGCACCAGTGGTCCCGCACGATTACGATGCCATATTTTACCGCATCTTTTCTACGTGTAGATGCGTTTAGATGCACGAACTCTTGCTGTGTTACAGTCGCCATGGAAGTACAGCCCGCGCCACGCAGGTTGGCAGCCCGGCTGCGACAGGCCGTCCCGCAAAGCAAGCCCGGGGTGCGGCGGGCTGTTCCATTCAGGGTGCGCACGTGCGCTCTATGATGTTGGCCAATGACACAATCGCCTAAGGACACGTTTCTCAGAACATGTACCTGTCACGAAGGGACACGTGACTGTATATAAATACATATGTTTTCTAATTATGCAAATCTGGCAACCTGCTTTTATCCACCAAAATCACCATTAATGAAACGTTCAACCCGTAACTCTCCAATCACCACGCCAGGAGCAAAGTGACAGCCACGCTCGCTGACACGGCGAGTCAGCGCTCTGAACTGCTAGATTCACAACCGCATCCACGGCCGCGTCTAAGGATGCTTCTACTATGGATGCTTCCCATGTTCACTGCCTGTGTTCATTACGGTTTTGCTTTTCAAATTTCCTGTACCTGATGGTATTTTGACATCTTAAAAGTCTTCCTGGTCAAGGAGAGACTGCCCCTCCCCCCAGACTAGCCAGTTCTGAGACAGCGCAGGCTGCTGCGAGCACCCTCCACGCGCGAGCCAGCCGGGCCCCAGGCGGGACCCCAAACACCCCTGTATCTAACTCCCACACACCAAGCCAGTACTTCCTGTGCCCTAAAGCATCCCAGGGTCAGGGACAGACAACTGGAAACCACCCTGAAAGCCCAGAGCGCCCCGGAGTGACTCAGACTGGCCTGTGCCGAGGGGCCCCGGTGAAGGCCCTGGCCAGGCTCTCCCCCTGCTCCTGCCTCCCGCCCAACCCCGGTGCTTCCCCCGTGCCCCTGCGTGGCGCGCCGGGCCCTTCTCTCGGGAGATGTAAGTACGAATCCTGCTTTCGATGGCACTGGCCTCACTCAGTCACCTCTGTAAGTTACAATCCCACAGGCACAGGCAGACACTGCCCGCGATTGTTTTTGCGCATTTGGTCTCACTGTCTCGGAGCCAGATGCACGGCCTGGCCTTCCTGCTGGACCCCAGCTGACGGCCTCCCTCAGCCCCGCCACCTTCGGCCAACTGAAGTCCCGTGGGCGGGGAGTGGCCCACGCCCTGTCCGGAGGGTGCCCCCGACAGGCTCTGCCAGAGGCGTCCTGGATGCTGCCGTTCTCAGGAGGTAAGACGAGAGTCGGTCCCGTCTACACAACCCCAGCAGGAGCTTCCAGTCGTTTCCAGGGGAGTCTAGCGGGGCGAGTCTGTGCTCAAGTCACTACTGCATGCCGAGGTGACCATGGATGTGTCTTGTGGTGGCCTAAGGCAGAAGCCGAGGACACAGCAATAAAGGAGGACAGCACAGGGCATTTCTGCAAAGTGCCAAACCGGCGAGACCACAGTGACCGCAGAGTAAACTTCCCGGTGCCCTGCAGAGCGCGAGTGTGGGGCTGGTCCGCGAGGTGCCGTGGAGCTTGTGGAAGGTCACGCTCAAGGCCACCGCCCAGATCTGTAGAATCAGGACGTCCACGGAGAGGCCCCCGGCTTCCCGGCTGAGTCCCAGGCACACTGGGGTCCGAGAACCCCTGGCCCGGGGAAGGGATAACGGCCCCCTGCTCAGGGCCTGCCCTTCCTGGTCCCGGAGCGGTTTCTGACACGCTGCACGCTTAACATCACTTATCTTCCCAGCGACCCCAAGAAGTGGAGGCCGGCACCGCGGAAGCTGCGACTCCGAGCCGCGCACGCACGCCGGCCTCGCGGCACTCACCCTGCAGTCTCCACGCACGCAGAGGCTGAAGGCATCCTTGTAGGAGCAGCGGGTCCCGTCGTGCACCATGCGCTTCATGGACACCACCTCGCCCGTCTCCTTGGACTTGCAGTACAGGTGGCATCTCTCCTTGGCTGGAAGGGAAGCAGCAGGCTGGCAGCAAGGAGCCTGGGCAGCTGCCCTCGCGCGCAGAAGAGACGCACACACGGGAGAGGCTCCTGCCGGGGTCTGGGACTCCTCCCCCGCCCCCCTGCGCTCCAGGGCGCACGGAGGGGAAGGGGGGGTGATGGCAACCCCCTCCCTGTCTCTGTGTCTCCTCAGCCCTTGACCCTGGCAGTACCGGGCTTAGGAAGACCTTTTCCCAACCGAGCCAGCCGGGCCCCAGGGGCAGCCCAGACCCCGCAGGCCGAGGCCCCGCCCGGTGGAGACCGTGACTGTGTGGAGGCAAAGGTGGTTCGCCAGGACTCCATCTTCAGAACCTTCTCGTCCACCTTCTCAGAGAGCCCGGGTGAGACCAGACCCCCTTGGTTCGGTCTCAGGTCCCTGGCCCTTCACTTCTCAGCCTTCATCTCAGAGGTGGCTAAAGCTCTGGGCCACCACACTGCAGCCCCCTCGCCCCCAGAGGGGGACACCATCTACTCTGTCACCCCCAGCTCTGCACCGGCCCATGTGGGGCACAGGACATGCACGGGCAATGACTCACACCCTGGCCTCCCTCCCCTGCCCAGCGCCTCGGAGGAACGGAAACTGCACATTTAAAATCCCACGACGGGAGGGTGGGAGGGTGGGGGGGGGGCTGGGAACCCAGATGGAATACAAACACCCCCAGGCCCGAGGCTACCAGACTTTTCAGTTCCATGAGCCAGTAGATGCCTTTTAATAATGAAACCGGTTGGAGTCACACGTCTGACACGTGCGACTGAGAGCCCCAGTAGAGAAGGTCAGAGGTCAGCAGATTCCTTGGCTGAGTCAGCCCCGCCTCGTCCACCGGGTCAGGGCCCCGGCAAGCCTGCAGCCCGGTCGCCCTGCCCCAGCGTCCTTGGCCACGCCCGGCGTTCCGGCTGCTGTGGGACTGCAGCCCCGGGATCGCCCCAGCCCAGGAGGGGGCCCGGCAGCCACACCGGCCCGGGGGGGCTTTGCTGCCAGCCCAGGGTTGCGGCGGCCTCGCCCCGCGCAGGATCCCAGGCACAGGCCAAGGCAAGGCCCTGCCCCCAGCCCCACGCCGCGTCCCCGCCCGGCTCACCATCCCGGTGCTCATGGGGCAGCCAGTGGTGCTGGGCATCGCCATGCTCAAAGTACAGGTCCCACTGGCGGCACTGCTCCTCGCGGAAGTCAGCCAGGGAGTCAGGGCAGTCCTGCGGGTTGCAGAGCTGGAAGTCGTAGGCAAGGCCCGAGCAGGTGCGGCCGCCGTTGGCTGGGCTGGAGGAGAAAGCGAAGGCCTTGCTGCGCGGTGCGGCCAGAAAGAGGCCAGCACCTGGAGTGCCACTGTGGGACTCCGGGGGACCCCGAGTCTCAGGTGTCTGGACGGTGCAGCCCTGCCGAGCAAAGGGACCCCACCCGCCCCGTCCCAGCTATGGGACCCGGCCACTCCCCGGCCTGCCAGGCTTCAGGCCATCGGGAGCAGAACGTGCTAGAGAGACTCTCCCGCCCGGCGCTCGCTTGGGGAGGCGGCTTCTGCCCAGCCCGGGTGCCCCTCACTGGCAGCGCTGGTCCTGGGCCCCACGAGCAAGCAGCTGGGACGCGTGTTCACACGCTGCCTCCTCCACGGGCTAAAACCCAGGGAGGCGGGAGCTGAGCGCGTCTCCCGCCAGCCCAGCCCTCGGCAGCGGGCCTGGCACGCAGGAGAGACGGCACCCCCAGAGCTCGACTGCTTCGCGAGTGTCTGGCACAAGGCGACACGATGCCACTGGGTTCTCTCCCCCTCGGGGAACTGGGGCTGTGACTGCGGAGTCCCTGCTTCGCTGAGAGCAGCAGCTCTCTGCAGCTACTCTTTGCTTCCCACTGCCCGGCTGGTCGTCTCCTCCCAGCAGCGTCAGAGCCGCAGCGGCCTGACTGGGAGCTGAGGGCGCCTTTCCCGCCCCTGCCCTGGCCAGGAGGGCCGCCTGGAGCTCCGGGCGGGAGGGCAGGAGAGTGCTCCCCGCTCACGTGGGGTGGCCGGCCCCAAACGCACGCCCTCCTGTGCTGCCCGGCCACATGGCCCTGACCCTCTGCCCAGAGCCGTGACTGCTGAGCCGCTCTGGCTCCCGGTGGCCGTTCGGGAACTGGCCTGAGCGTGGGAACTGCCGCGGAGGCCGGGCCCCGCCAGGCGGGGCGCGCCCCGGAGACTGCCCGCCAGCCGAATCTGGGCCCAGCATTGCATCATACGGTGCCTGATGTGGAAGCTGGAAATCTGTTGTTTTTTTAGATGCAAAATTCTAGATTTTCAGTATTTTCAGAAAAATCAAAATCTTTAAACTGGTAGAAAGGCCAAAAAAGAAAACCTCACGTGCCCAAGCAGTGCTGGAACGGCAGCGGTGGGCCGACAAGGTCCGGGCTGCGGACCGAGGAGGAAGAGCAGCCCGGGACGAATTTACAGCGTGGGGGCCGGCACGGGGAAGGAGGGGACGAGGAGGACAGCACAGGGCCTGGGCACAGGGCCTGCGGGGGAGCGTGGCTGAGGGTGGGCCACAGGTGGCACCAGGCGGCAAGTCCCTGCCCCGCTCTCACCTGAGGACAGCAGCTACCCAGCTCCCGGCATCTTGGGGGCCAAGAGAGGCCCCTCTCTACCCCTGTCCCCCTAACTCTGCCCCAGCTCTCTCCTCCGAGCCCACCACCAGGAGACACAGAGGAAGCCCGCGGGGGCGGGTTGCAGGCAGGCGGGGTGGCCCGGGCGGCTGGGCGGGAGGCCAGAGGTGGGCGCACCAGCCTCCCAGGCAGGGCGGCGCAGGGCGGCCCACCCTCGCACCCTCTCCAGAACGAGCGCAGGCGCTCCAAGGCCAGGCTGGCTGGTGAGGGACTCCTGGGACCTCAGCTGCCACTCAGGAAGGCTGGGGGGACACAGGGCCAACTCACTGTGGGTTGTCGCACTGGCGGGTCCTGAACTTCACGCCGGTGCCGCAGGTGCGTGAGCAGGAGCCAAACGGACTCCAGGCGCTCCAGCTGCCGTCCCGTTTGAGCATGTCGGGTGTCAGCCAGATGCAGTGTCCTTTAAAGCAATGCTGAAAGACAGGAAGCCGCTCCCTGGACCCGCCACTCGCACCAGGGCTGCCGGGACAGCCCGCACTCTGCAGCCTGCAGCCCCGGCCGGGCCTGGAGGCACAGAGGGAGCCCATCCACGGCCCCCGGATGCTCGGAGCCCCCCAGGAAGACAGGCCTCATCCCACGGCAGCCGTGAGAGGCACAGGAGGAGCTGCCGCCCCGCCCCCGGCCTCCCGTCCTTCAGGCAGAGGCCGCACCACAGCGCGTGCCCGCGTAGACGTCCCAGGGCGCCCACGGGGCCCGTTTATAAAGCGGCGCCTGCACATCTGACCAACGACTCCAGAGACACAGACGCGCCGTTTAAGTGAATAAACCGCGAACGCGGTGAGCAGGCGCGTTCCCCGCGTGCGTCCGGCCGTGCTGCTCCCGCCCCTGCCAGAGGGGGGCGCTCCTGCACTTTAGGGGCCCGCCGTGAGAAGACCGCAAAATTAACGCTATCAAATTAGGTATAACAGGAATTATTGATTTAGAATAAGTGAACACACCACACACAAAAATTTAAAGACAGAGAACAATGATTTGCATCTGACACGACTTTTCCTGCACTGCTGCTGGCACCCTGTTTCACGCGCTCTGCTCATCAGTGATTTTGTGGCACTGCTCTCCACAGAGGGGACAGAAAGAGACGCAGTCGCTCCTCAGCAAACTGTTTCTGTAAAGGGGCCAGATAGTAACTATTTTCGACTTTGCGGGCTCCCTGGCGTCTGCTGAATTACTCAGCTCTGCCACCGGAGCATGGAGGCAGCCGCAGACAACATGTAAATGAAAGGACACAGCTGTGAGTAACGCTTTTTACAAAAACAGGCAGCAAATGGAAACTTCCAGAATGGAGGTGTAAAGAGGTTGGTGAACCCAGTCCCCAGTAAGACAACCGTTTAACTGATGAAAATTACATTTTGAAAAACAACCATTTAAAGTCTCTGGAAGTTGTCCTAAGGTCAATACAACAAATGAAGAAATATTTATTTAAGAAAATCTACTAAATCTTGAATAGAACAGCAAAAGTCTATGGCATTTGAGCCACAATCCTCTTCCATTCCTTCCTACATTCTCGATGTCACAAAAGCTTTACAGCCAAGACGGGGCTCCCTATCCTCACAGCTCCCAGTCCAAGGCTACAGTTTCATGCCAAGAAAGGCAGGCCTCTGGGACCTCCCGTCCCTCCCAACTCTGTGTTGCAGAAAGCCTGTTCCCGGTGGGGTGGCCAAGAGGACTGGGGCTGCCTTCCCCCCACAGTCCCCACTCACAGAGCACAAGCTGTGCTCCAGGTACAGCAGCCCAAGACCAGTGGACCAGAGATAGCCCCTTCCCCAGCTTGCTTGTAGGAAAGAGGTTCTACGCTGAAAGCGGCAAACCAAGAAGACTAAGTGGCGGCCATTCCCATCGAGTGACCTGCATGTACAGCGGGAGTGTCACTCCAGGAGAAGCAGGCCGCCGTCCCTGCTTCTAGCTCCAGCGCGGTGTTGATAGTTTGCTCAGAGGTAAACCAGACAGACAGCTCCATAGCTCTCCCTAAGCGGACAGACTTTTATCTGAAACAGAGCATGGGGAAGTTCATGCCTAAGGTCTTAGTCAAAAACAACAAAAGCAGTGAAGCGGCTCACTCCTGCAACCGCAGCACTTTGGGAGGCAGAGGAGGGAGGATCACTTGAGGCCGGGAAAGTTCGAGACCAGCCTGGACAAGACCCTGTCTCTACAAAAAAATTAAAAAATTAGCAGGTGTGGTGATGCACACCTGTACCCCCAGCTACTTGAGAGGCTGAGGTAGGAAGATTGCTTGAGCCCAGGAGTTCAAGGTTACAGTGGGCTGTGATCATGCCACTGCACTCCAGCCTGGGCAACAAAATAAAACAAAACAAAACAAATTAGAGATTTTGGTAGTGAGTAATTAAAAGGAGACCAATAGTTCCGTGATACTAGTAGCAACAAACAAAATGATAAACTAACTACAGGTTGAGTATCCCTTATCTGAAATGCTTGAAACCAGAGGTGTTTTGGATTTCAAATTTTTGGGTTAAGGATACTCACCTGTAGAAGTTTAACAGCGAGAACCAAGGACAAAGTCAGCTAGGAGCCATCCTGAGGTCTGAGTAAGCCTCAGAGACTGGCAACACCCTGTCCCTATGAAAGGTCCAGAATTTAATTGGATCATACTATAGAATAAATCATACACCCAGGGCTTTTTCAGAAATAATACAGCAATCAGTTAGCAGTTAATGAAGGCTAACGGCGGGGCGTGATGTCAATAGAGGCAGAATGTCCAGAAGCTTAACAGAAAGATCAGGTAAAGAGACAGTCAGAGAGAGCTTGGCTGATACCACCGTCCTAGGGAGGAAGGGGTAGGGCTGTGGTCAGAGGGACTCGGAGGAGCGGTGTCAGCAGCTGCAGGGGGAAAGCTCCATGGAAACAGCACAGCCAAATCACTGCTAAAAGAAACACGCAAGCGACAGCAACAAGAAGGCCCGGAAGGATCAATAGCCATAGTTTATTCATTGTGGTACATAAAGGGTCCAGTTTTCAACGAAAATCCCGAGACATGAAAAGAAACAGGAGAGTGTGACCCACACACAGGAAATTAAGCGGTTGATAGAAACTGCCTTCGAGGAGGCCCAGATGCTGAACCCAGCAGACAAGGGTTTCAAAGCAGCTCTTACAAATATGTTTAAAGAACAAAAGGAAACCACGTCTAAAGAATTAGAGTATAAAAATAATGTCTCA